CTTATTAAATATTTTTCACGTAAATTATATTAATATATTATTATGATATGCTATTTTTCTTTCATACTAATCTTAATATTTTCCTCTGATTAATTTATCTATATTGATTAATGATTTGCTGCCTTGTAGCTATCATGTGAATTTGAGTTTTTTTCCTGGATATATTGAGAGTGATGTAGTTGCAAACGCAATTAAAAGTTAAAATTTTTATTTACCTTCGTGGTGGCCTTTGAATGGTATGATATAAAGGGAAGAATGAATCCAGCAAATATTAGTGGCCTAGTACTCATACTTTTTAAACATCCAGGCAGTATACTCTATAGAAAATGATAATGTAGCATAGAAGGATTTGAAACATGTGGCCTGTATTATTTACCAGGTTTGCTCCGCCACATTGGCTGGCCTTATTCCATTTTCTTAGTTCTACCTTGATTGCCAGTAGTCCTGTTAGTGACAGCATCTTCCATTTTTCCTAGGTATGTATCTGCTATCATTCTCTTCAAGTGCTGAGAGCTTCTAGGGATGTTCAGAAGCAATGAAAAGAAATTTCCTGACACATAATTTGAGCTTAATATACATGTAGAAACAAAGCCTCTTGCCAGGATAGGTAGATTTTTTTAAAATTTTGTATACATTTTTAAAAAAACTTTATATACATTTTAGAGCTTCAGCTAATATAATCATTACTATTCTATAAAGATGTAATGCTAGTGTTTGCTTTATAGAATTTATGATAACAGGCTGGATGTGTTGGCACACGCCTGTAAGCCCAGCACTCAGGAGGCTGAGGCAGGAGGGTTGTTGCAGGTTCGAGACCAACCTGGGCCACAGAGTGAACTCAAGGCCAGCCTGAACTGCATTGCGAGATCCTGTCTCAAAAAGACCAAAAAAAAAATTTTATGATAATGTAATAAAGGGCTTTCATTACATTAAATTTCTCACTGAGGAAGAGTTAAACTTAGAAATAATTTTTAAATGATTGAGCAAAATAATTAGAATTATATTTTGTTTTGATTCTGTTATATCTTCAAATTATTAGACTATCTCAAGTATAACAGGATATCTTTTTTTTTCTCACATGCATATAACTGATACCCTTAAATCTCACTTAACTTTGTTAAGAGTTAAAAATACAGATACTTAGGGAATGGAAGGGAATGAGAAGGAGACTTGTTATCAAATTTCTCCTACTCTGACCATGTGTTTTCTTTTGAAGATTTTACAATCTCCCTTAATAGATACTAAGAGGCTCATTTGTAAATTTATATTTGCTTTGTGACAACAGAAAGCCAATAAGGTACATTCTCTTAAATGATTAATTTGGATATTCCCTTTTAAAAGTGAATATTCATGTGTTAAACTATTCAAGGCTCTGTTTTCATAAGAGCACAAATATAAACCAGAGTTCTTGAAATTTAGGGCCTATATTTGTTTTTATGAAGGTTCATTATGAGTTCTGTAGCAATATCAGTGCACTCTTGATTGTTTCCTTTTCATAATTCAACTCGCTCTTAGAGACAGTAGGATTCAGTTTAACAGTATTTTATCAAACATGGTGGTGCATGCCTGTAATTTGAGGACTTGGGAAGCTGAGGCAGGAGGATCGCTAGGTGTTTGAGGCCAGTGTGGGCTACATAGTGAATCAAGGCCAATCTGAAGTACATAATGAAACCCTGTCTCAAAAAGAGCAAAAAGTTGGGGGCTGGGGATTTAGCTCAGTGGTACAGCACCTGCCTGGCAAGCGTGAGGTGGTAAGTTTGATTCCTGGTACCAGAAAAAAACAAAAACAAACAAAAAGAAGCAAGAAAGAGCAAAAAGTAAACAGAAACAGAAAAAGTTTCTCTACATTTTAAAGATGTGTGTGGCTCTCTCAATTCCCCACCTCAGTGAAAATGACCATATTACTTATTTAAGTTTATAATGTGAAAAAAGAGAGCTCAAATTAAGAATATATTTGAGGGGCTGGGGATTTAGCTCAGCGGCACAGTGCCTGCCTGGCAAGCGCGAGGTCTTGAGTTTGATTCCCGGTACCGGAAAAAAACAAAAACAAAAAATATATATTGAGTGCCGGGCATGGTGGCACGTGCTTGTGATCCCAGCACTCAGGAGGATTCCCACAAGTTTGAGGCCAGTCTGGACTACATAGTGAGTTCAGTGCTAGGCTGAACTATCAAGACGCTGTCTCAAAAAAAAAAAAAAAAGAAGAAAAAGAGCACATTTGAGAATATATATAGAAAGAAGAGGGAGTGCAAAAAAGACATATAAGTAAGAATTAGGGAGATCTTTTTTAAATGGATGGTGGAGTAAGAGATGGAGGGGGAGAAGGGAGGAAAAAGGGATGGGGAAAAAAAAATAAAAGGGAAAATGGTGAAAATACAGCTTTTGCAAATGAGAAGGGGACCAAGAGTTGGAAGCGGGGGTGTGGGATAGAAGGAGAAAAAAAAAAAAGAATACTTAAGGTGTGCTATGTACATGTACCAGTTCCCCACAATAAGTATAATCATGTACTGCAAGCATGTTCTGTGCTAATAAAAAAATTTTAAGTGATACTTTCCTAGTTGATATTTGGGTCATACATCAGGAATAAATGACTTATTCTATGAATCCTTACTATATGGGCAAAATCTTCTGTCTTACATGTCTTTGGAATTAACTTTAAAATTAATCTACTTAATCTTTGAAGTTTATGTATCAATTTTCATAGACTTTTTACTAAATATAACATTAGAATAAATGTCATTTTAACTCTTCAAAAAAGTTGTAGAGTGCTTATTGTATTTAAAGCATTACACTTGGCATTGATATTATAAAAATGAATTAGACAAATGATGCTGGAAAAACTGGCTTTGCACATGCTGAAGATTAAAATTGGACTCATATCTTTCATCATGCACTAAATTAAATTCAAAATGGATCAGAGATCTAAATATTAAAACAGAAATATTAAATCTGCTGGAAGATAGCATAGGTAAAACTTTGAAGAAATTGGTGTAGGCAAAGACATTATGAATAAAAAGCCTGATTGCACAGGAACTATCACAAAGAATCAACAATTGGGATCTCATCTTGTTAAAAAGCTTTTGCACAGCAAAAGAAACCACCAGCAGAGTAAAGAGACAACTCACAGTGTGGGAAGGAATATTTGCCAGCTGTTCCTCAGACAAAGGATTACTACCGAGAAAATATAAAGAACTCAAAAACATCAGACCTCCCGAATTTAAAGAAGCAATCCAAAAATGGGCATCTGAATGAATATACATTTCTCAGATAAAGAAATACAAATGGCAAATAAATACATGAATAAAAACATTGACCATCATTGGTCATTCAAGAAATGGAAGTGAAAACAACACTGAGATTTCATCTTACCTCAGAAAGAATGGCTATCATCAAGAGATCAGCCAATAACAAGTGCTGGAGGGGCTGTGGGAAAAAAGGAATCCTACTTCCACTGTTGACGGGAGCGTAGACTGGTGCAGCCACTGTGGAAATCAGTGGGGAGATTCCTCAAAAAACTAGGATTGCAGTCCCATTTGGCCCAGCTATACCCCTTTTGGGTATCTTCCAAGAAGAGTTTAAAACATCACACCACAGCAATATATGTGCACCCATGTTTGTAGCAGCACAATTTGTAAGAGCTAGATGTTGGCAACAACCCAGATACCCATCAGCAGAGGAATGGATAAAAAAGATGTGGTCTTTTTATACAGTGGAGTACTACTTAGCCATAAAGAAGGATAAACTTGAGACTTTTATAGGTAAATGGATACAACTTGAGACCATACTCATAAGTGAAATAAACGAGACTCAACTGTGTAAACCTTGTATGTGTCTCCCCAGAAGAATAAATGAGATCCAAAATGTACAATAGATATTGTAAAATGGGAAGAAACTGTTCAAAAGGAAAGAGAAACTGGGATGGGGGAAGGGAGAAAAGAAGAAAGAGAAAAGTAACTATATATGTATATATATATACACATACAAGATAGTTAAAATAGTTATACTACTAATTTCTCTTAGTTCATTGAAAAGAAAGGTTTGTGCTAATGCTGTTTGGCCAGTTAAATGCCTATATCTTCTACTCTGAGTAATTAATTTAAAGATAACAGTGCATAATGTATTAAGCATTGTTACTCTTCTGTTATTTTGTTTTGAAATTTTGTTTTACCTTTTTTCTCTTTAAAATAAAAAAGAAAATGAATTAGACATATACCCGTCTCCATAGCTGTTTGATTAAAAAACAGATTGTTATAAGAAGCTATTAAGACACTGCGTTAGGATTCTTATGTAACCTTTGCTAACTTGTCGTCTTAAGCAGTTCCTTTTTTAATATGACCATAAAAATAAGATGTAAAGTATATAAAATAAGTGTTCACAAAGATTTGTCCTAATTTTTCCATTTTTCTTCTTGATGCAGACTTCTTATGTTAGAATAGATGGAAGTGTTCCATCTTCAGAAAGGATACATCTGGTTAATCTGTTTCAAAAGGATCCTGATACTCGTGTGGCTATCTTAAGCATTCAGGCTGCTGGCCAGGTGAGAAATTTCAGGTCTAAATTTGGTAGGAAGATGTCACTGATATAATAAAAAGGCCATTAACTGTAGTTTTGGGTTGACTGGCAGTAACTTTGTGGATGTCTAATGTAAATATTGTACTTTGGAGAGTGCTTGAAAATACAATCAAAAGAAGCCTCAATATCCTTGACTCAAATGTCACTAAATTTTCCAGGAAAGAACTCCCATGAAGAGTACAATTAGCTTGATTGTAATGCGTTTTCACAACTGTTTTCTTTCTTTAGATTTGCATAGAATTTTCTCATAATTTGGTCTTACTTGGTTGTGTTTCATTAGCATCTGTGAGATAACATGGCCTGAGGTGGGGCGTCTCTGCCCTGGAACTTGTTGTAGAGTGGCCCTGGTTTGTCCCTTAGGGCTAGCATTGGCTGTAAGTAAATGCAAACTCAGATTAAGAGTGACTTAAATAGGGGCTGGGGATTTAGCTCAGTGGCACAGCACCTGCCTGGCAAGCGCAAAGTCATGAGTTCGACTCCCGGCCCTGGAAAAAAAAAACCAAACCAAAAAAAAGAGTGACTTAAATACACAGCTTCAGTCTCCCCATTAGACAGTTCAAGCTAAGTATGGTGTTTCCAGTCTTCAGGACCCATGCCCCATCTAGCTTCCTGCTTTACTGCTTCAAGCACCCACATCGTCTCTCAGTCTAGGAATCTGCCTGGAGGAAGGCACCCTGCGTCTCACTTGCCTGTAGTTTACCTCATGGCCACACCTACCTACAAGGGAAGCGGGAAGAGTAGACCTTATTCCAGGTGGCGCTGCTAAAAATCAGGTGTTAGAGACAAAGGAAAAGGGAAGATATTAGGGAAAGCAATGGCTCACTGTGGAAGAGGGGATCTTTTTTCTGCTACAGTCTAAAATGTGTTGATGTAAGTGTCTAAGCCAAAACATTTAGGACAGGGAAAAATAATAGCATACCTTCTGTGCCATCCACCTGGTAATGCTAAAGGTCACTTTTACCTTGTTAAGTGTAGTACGTTGTTGAAACTATGAGGGTGAAGGTTTCTGGGATTTGCTAATTCTAACTAAAAGGAGCTCTGTCTCAAAACCTCCCTCATGTTGAAGAATCTGAAACTTCCACGAAACTTCCAGTAGTCTGAGTTTTATACCAGTTAGAGTGTTCCAACCTTACAGAATATCTTCTTGAAGGGCTTTAGCCAGGAGTGGTGGTGCACACTTGTAATCCCAGCACTCTGGGAGGCTGAAGCAGAAGGATTGTAAACTCCAGTCCCCTCTAGGCAACTTCGTAAGATTCTGTCTCAAAACAAAATTTTTTTTTTGTCTTTTTGAAACAGTCTCACTATGCAGTTCAGGCTGGCCTTGAGCTCACTTTGTAGCCCAGGCTGGTCTCGATTTCACAACAATCCTCCTGCCTCAGCCTCCTCCCGAGTGCTAGGATTCAGGTGTGCACCACCACGCCAGGCCTCTGTCTCAAAATTTAAACAACTAAGAAAGGCTGAGATGTAACTCAGCACAACAGGGAGAGACACTCAGAGCAGGGGAGGTGATAAGTGGGAGAAATCCAGACAGGAGAGTTCAGGACTATTTAAAATTAAAAATACATGACTTCTGAAATAAAGAGTGTGCAGGACACTCCCATTTTACTTGAGACCGTATTCCTGAAGACCTCGGTATAATTTAAGACTAATATACATGAAGACTAATATCTTCAGATAAAATGGAAACAAAGCTTTGTAAATAAGGAGGGGAAGAGGAGTTGAAGAGAGGGGAGGGAAGTGAGGAAAAAAAAGAATCAAGATATATCAAGTACTAGTACAAATTCCCTGTGATAAAGGTGACCATTATGTATAACTAAAATGTATCAATAAACTTAATTAATTTAAATAATAATAATAATAGCCTGAGAGTCGCAAAAGTCACTCACAGAAGTTCCAGGCATGTGAACAACAACATGATCTTCAAAGTCATGCATTTTCTACATGTTTCATGTCAGGAGATTATTTCATATATTGATTTTAAAACAAGACCTAGTTGATATTTTTATGTCCTCCTTTTGCAAACTCATGTAAAATGCGGTTGCATAAAAAAATAACATTATATTTACTGACATAAAGCAGTAAACTTCAAAGTCTTGAGCATGTAACATGAGAAGTTCTACAGGAAGGAAGCAGTGTGACTGGAAACATGATTTTCTTCACCATATGGCAGTTTGAATTAAATGACGAGGCTGTCAGTGCTGTCTGCCTGTGGATACCAAGTTATGGATACCATGTGTTAGAAATTATTCTCTCCCTTGTAATGGATTCTATTAGATTTCCAAGTGATGAAGTGAATCTAGTCTTCATCAAAGGTTAAAGTGATTTTGATTATATATGTATGTGTCTACCCAGCAGCCCGACTTTTGAAATACTGCAATGCATTGTTTACTTGGCTATCTTGCAGTTAGCTGTCTTCATTTGCCTGTCATGAGTTAAATCTTCTTAATTTTGCTTACAATGAAAAACTGGTTTGTTTTTAAGCCCTTTGGTGCTCTCTTCTCCATTAACATGTTTAGAAAGGCTTTAGTGTATAGGACTCATATGCTACATTCTCTATTTATTTGCATCTCAGTCCCTTTGCTTTTTTTGCTTAGGGTTTGACGTTTACTGCTGCAAGTCACGTTGTGTTTGCTGAGTTGTACTGGGACCCTGGACATATAAAACAGGCAGAAGATCGTGCTCACCGAATTGGACAGTGCAGTTCTGTGAATATTCACTACCTTATTGCAAATGGGACTTTAGACACCTTTATGTGGGGAATGTTGAATCGAAAGGTAAAAGTTCAGTTTTCTCCACGTTACTGACTTTCTTAGTATGATTTGTAGCCTGAATGAGTTAAGAGACTGAGTTTTAATGTGTTCAGGCAAATGATACTTAAATGTACCAAAATAATGATAATAGAGACCAAGTTCAGGAAAGGCTTCCATTGGTAGTATGCTACCTACTATCGCCTATAATGATAGGCTATATATTTCTATTATTTTCTAAACCCATAATTAATAATCCTTTCATTTAATCTTATTTTGAGAGAGAGAGAGTGTGTGTGTGTGTGTGTGTGAGAGTGTGTTTGTGTGAGACACCTGGATGGAACTCAGGGTCTCAAAAATGCTAGGCAAGTCCTCTATCACTGCTTCAACTACTTGTTTTTATTTTTGTTGGCTTCTACCACTTTCAGTCTAGAAGGATAGGATTAGCAAATATGGAACCAGAGTGTTTAAATTTCTAAGTCTGTTTTGTAGCCTAAGAATAAACCTTGTCCAGAAAAAGTTCTTGAATTAACACTGAACTAATACTAGATTCCAGCAAAGGTAAGAAAGAAATTCTTGGCTGTTCTCTCAGCTCTGTTCTGCTCTCAGCTCTCTCTTCTCTCCAGACTTGAAGGATGTTTATAGAAAGGATTTGACTAAGCATTAAAGGATTTCTGCCTTAGTTAGGGGTACTATAACAGAGTAGTGCACACTGTGTGGCATATAAGTAATAAAAATTTACTTCTCATGATTCTTGCAATTGGAGGTTCAAGATCAGGGTGAGAGCCTGGTCAGGTTCTCTGGAGCATCCTCTTCCAAGTGAGACTGCCAGCTTCTCCTGGCTTCACATGGGAGGAGGACAAGAATGCTCTCTGGAGTCTATTCTTTAAGTGTATTAATTCCACTCATAGGGTCTCCACCTTCAAGACCAAATCACCTTCCAAAGGCTCCACCTCCTCATGCCAGCTCATTAAGAATTAGGATTTCAATGTAATGAACTTGGGAGGGAGCACAAATACTTCTTCTGTTACAATGTTTTCTAAGCAGTGAGTATAGATATTCAAAATGGCCAATCATATTTGGCTAAATTGCAAAGTACATAAATATTAGGATAAAAGTTTTTATGAAAAAAGCAAATAGTGTAATGTTTCTACTTCAGTCTTTTCCTCATTAAAGCCAGAAATCATTGACTTGGTACTTTGACATTCTTTTTTTTTTTTTTTTTATCACCAGCGGTACTTTGATTGTAATTTTGCATCATTATGTTACTAAAGCCCATGATCTGTTGGAAAAATAGGATTTTCCTAGTTGATAGCTTGTGATTTACATGCAAAACCCAGTTACTGCTTAGTAAATGTCAGCTGTGAGGTGAGCTGTTGTGAAATTCATGTGCTTTTCCACGTACAGGCCCAGGTCACAGGGAGCACACTAAATGGTAGGAAGGAGCAACTTCAGGCTGAAGAAGGTGATAAGGAAAAATGGGATTTCCTGCAGTTTGCTGAAGCATGGACTCCAAGTGACAGTTCTGAAGAGCTCCGGAAAGAAGTTTTGTTCACTCATGTAAGGCGATATGACTTGGTCTTTTTTACTACTTTAACACCCTAAATTATAACTGTAACATACATTTTTTAAATTTTTTATTTTATTGGTGCATTTTAGATATATGTAATGATAACATTCATCATAGGTAGTTTGTACCTGCACATGATATATCTTGCTTCTTCTTTTTTTCCATTCCCTTCTTCTGCCTTCAACCCCTCTGCCCTTCCTTATGGACAAAAGCTTTTCTTTTTCATTTTTTTTCCTTCTATTTTTTTTTTTTTCCTTTTCCTTTTCTTCCCTTTCCCTATCTCCTTCCCTTGTTCCTCAGCTCTTAATTATTCGTGTTCTTGAAAGGGGACTTCACGGGGCTGGGCATTTAGCTCAGTGGCACAGCGCCTGCCTAGCAAGCATGAGGTCATGAGTTCGATTCTTCGATTCCCAGTACCAGAAAAAAACCAAACCCCCCCCCCGCAAAAAAAAAGGGGACTTCACTTAAAGCTGGAAAATAACATAAAACCAAAAATTAAATTAATAGAAGGAGACTTGTATAGAGTCATATATCTCCCACGTTTCATCACTCCCTGTTCTGCTCCTTAGATAAACAAACTGAGTAGAATCCAAACTCCACAAGAAAATGTAGGAGGGTATCTTCATGACTCTGAAGGTAAGGAAGGATAGATGAAATTTGCCTCACATGCAAAAATAATAAAGAAGATGATTTAAAATTTTTGTTATATAAAATGTCTCACAAACAAGTCACAGACTCAGTAAAGTATTTATATAACTCAATTAATAAAATGTAAACAAGCCAACAGAAAAATAGGTAAAGAATGTATCAGAGGGGACGTCAATAGCCAGAAATCATGAGAAGTTCTGCCTTACTAAGACAAGGCAGATTATAAAAATAACTTTTCCCTTTTGCAATTGGTAATTAATCTATGGTATGATGCTTTCGGGTCAAGTGACCATCTTGTTCCCCAAATTTTCATACAGTGGTTTTAGCATCAGTGATGGTTTTTACTTGAATCAGTTTGAAGTGGTTTTTCTTTTTTCTTTTTTTTTTAAAGAGAAAAAAATAATAATAAAATAACAACAAAGACAAAAACAAAACCACACAAAAATAATAAAAAATGATATAGAATTTGAAAACAAGATGATAGGAAATTAACAATGGTTGTAATATTACATACTTTTATCTTTTAGGAAGTTGTTCAGATTACCAGATGTAAGAGTGCAAGATTGATCAAACAATTAAAGAGAATAAAAAATAATAAAACAGAACATTAGAAACAATACAAAGCTTCACTAAACAAGATGGTAGGACTTCAACAATGGTTGTTATATTGCATATTGTTGTCTTCAAATTAGTTGTTCAGGTTGGAAATGGTTTTTCTAACTCTGTCATTGCATCTATATTTACTAGATGGTATTTTTTGTAAAGAAGCATATTATTTCTCCCTTTAAAAACTCATTAAAATGTTGAGGATTCTTTTATTTTTGTTATTAATATTTAATGTATTATAATCTTTCACTTTTTTTCTGTTTATGCTTGGATCTGGCTAGTAAAATCTTCTTTACAGTGGTTCTTTTAAAAAAAAAAAATCACATCCTCGTAAGTCTCTGAGTACTTCTTTGCTTTTTGGTAAACAAAATATTCCAGGTTCACTTTGAATTTTCCTTGCCTCTGGCTTGGAACTGACTGTTTCTTTAAGGAGTCCTAGTTCCTCATAAATTGCTACTTAGAAATTAACATGAATGTGTCTATGTATAGGTCTGTATCTGTATCTATATATCTACTATTTTGCACAAATTTTCCAATCTTTAGATGGCTTCATATAAGTTGGCATCTTATACTTTAGGAATCTTTTGTTTATTTTTAGCTATTTTACTTTGTTTATACCTACATGTTTGTTGTTTGGCCAGCGAAAGAAACATGCTTTAGTTGACTTTAGGTGGGCATGGCCTCTCCCCACTATCTTTCTACCCTCTAGCCTCGGAGATTTTAAGAAATGTTTTTTAAAGGATCTGTGAAAACTTAGTTTTAGCAGTGAACATATTTTTCTTCTGAATGTTGCCAGAACTTCAGTATTTTCTCTGGGAATTTTTTATGTATAGTGATTTATTTCTGAATCTTTCTAAAAGTCTTAAATTTTTCTTCAGCATTTAGCAATTTTAAACTTTACCAAATTACCCAAATTTGCCAATTGTCGTCAAAAAACGTGCTTAACTAAAAAGTTTATAGCAGTTCTAATTGGGTGGTTTTTAGCAACTTGTAGAAAGTTCTGCGGTGTCAGCATTTTAAGGAATGTTCCTTTTATCTTTATCCCAGCTCCCTGCTGCTGCAGTTGGAGGGAGCTGGAGCGAAGAGACCTTCTGCTTGGTAGAACAGATTGTTCCTACAGTCAGCACAGGACTGAGAGGCTCAAGGAGGAGACCAAAAGCAGAGACTGAGCCTGAGGGCAAGTGAGGGCAGGAAGAATTCAGAGCCTCTACACTACCTCCCACACCTCCCACCCTGCTTCCCTGGCTCCCAGTATGCCTCTTACCCTGCAGTTCATCAGATTCAAAATGCTGTGGGCCCCATAGATGATTTTTAGAAAATGTATGAGTTTGGTAAGTTTAGCAAATTGGTCTTCAGTACATTATATTTCAGGTGAACTGACTTGTAGCATATTGCTTACTAGACAGATAAGTCACTTAGCATGTGGGCTTTTGGCTAATTTGTTTTTTGTGAATTGATTTAGAGCCCAAAATTACGATGAGCGTGGGTCCTGGGGATAGGAAGACCTATGATTAGGAAGAGTAGAAGAATGTTAAAAATGTTTTCCCAGACATAGTTTTTATATTGGCTTTGGTACCTCCTGCCTTCTTTCTCTTCTGGTGCACTTGCCCTTCCATATTGTGTTATCTTTTTCTTTCCCTCCTCTGTTAGAATCCTCTTTCTGTCATATAACCCAATTCTGACTGTTGGGATTGAAGGAAAAATACATAGAACCTGGGCTGGAACTCCACTAGTGTATGTAAATGTATTGCTAAAATTGTTAAAATATTGAAACATTTTGTGATAAGCTTTTAATGGTTGTGATGAGCTGTTGTGATGAGTCCTTAACAGTGAAAAGATGGCTGATAAGTACCCATTCTTCAGACCTGTCATTGTACCCCTTCACCCCGCCGTGAGGACCTTCTGGTCTTCCCCATGATCCAGCACCACGTGGGGCCTCTGTGACTCTGCTGCGACCCGAGATTGGCAGGCACTTCCATGCTGTACCTGTCTAAGTTGTAGTATTTGAATAATCCACACAAACACAGGAGATGCAACTCTTTGCCCATCCTAGAAATGTGTATATTTTAAAAATAAATAATTTATTAAAGCAAATGAAACTCAAGTTAAAGTCCAAATAAATGAAGAGGAAGAACTTCCACCATCATGAGGAAAGTTACTTTTGCGTAGCATATTTGCCTGTCCCATAAGTGAGCTGGCCTGCTTGGGAGTCAGTCACCAGGGTCCCTGCCTCAGATTCAGTCAGGTCATTTATACTACTTCCGTTCCTTAGATGGATGTGCATGCCATCTACATAGTCGTGATAGCTGGTCTGCTGTAAAAAAGTGGCAAGTAGCTAGGAATAACTCCTCAGCATAACAATTTAAATTTTAAAATATACTTTTAAAAATATATAGAGTTTGCATTTTTTTATTAAATGCCAACATTGTATGAAGTGCTTGCCTTACTGTGGGCTAGAAAGTTCAAACAAAGGAATCATATTGTACATATAAAAAATAACCTTTTTCTTCACCAGTCTAGTTATCTAGTTGAATAAATAGTAACAGTGAAAAGAAATTGACTTGACCATTGGAGCTGTGGTATTCATGAAGTCTAAATCTATTTTGTCCAAAATCTCTTACTTCTGAATATGCTAAAGGACTGGTATCTTAGGGCCAATACATCATAAATTAGAGTATTTGTTCAGTATATATTTTAGAAAATCAAACTGCTCTATAAACATTGCAAACTGCAATATAAATATGCTCTATAAATATTATATAATTAATCAGCATAGAAGTCTAACAATGACAAGAAGGTAGCTATATTATTGGTAGAGACATGAATATCTAATAGCCATACCTTATATCACATTGTTATTATTAGACTTTGTTTACTTTTGTAACTTCAATAATAATCAACATATATTGTATTGGTAGTTATTCCATGTAGCTATTGTGATAAGCCCCTAATATTCATAATTTTATTTAACCTTCATGGCTACACCAAGAGGCAGGTACTGTCACCATGCCCCACTAAAACTCAAAACGTTTACATAATCTGCCCAAGTTCACACAGCCAATGAAAGGCAAAACTGAGATTAGAACCCAGTCCTTTTGCTCTAACATCTGCCCTTATACCCTTGCCAGACTGTGCTACATTCATTAAGATTAGCATGTCATGGCCCTTCTGTAAGTATTTGTGAAACATACAGAGCATCAAAACAGTTGTTTCATTTAGCTTGTGCTTATGGGATGTATACTTTGCACAGAGTGAAGATCATTATAGAGAATATATTAAGATTATATGCTCACTTGGGAGGCTGAGTGTCTTGTTTACTTTTCTGTCGTTGCTGGGACAAAATACCTGATGCCCAAAATTAAGGAAGGAAAGGTTTATTTCGCTTACAGTTTGTGGAGGTTTTAGTCCATACTTGGCAGGTTACAAGGCTTTTTACAGTTAAATTAATATTTTCAGGCCCTCATTTTCTTTTTAGGGTCAAATAATATTCCATTGTGTTGCTAAACCATATTTTGTTTATCCATTTAATTTATGGACACTGTGATTGTTCTAATTTTTTTTACTATTATAAATCATGCTGCTATGATATTCATGTACAACTTTTTGTGTGGACAAGCTTTCAGTACCCTTGGGATCAGAATTGCTAAGTCACATGGTAATTCTATGCATATGCTTAACATTTGGAGGAACTGTCAGCATTGTTTTTCAAAATGGTTGTGGTATTTTACACTCTCTC